CCCCAAAACCCCAAAACCCCAAAACCCCAAAACCCCGCTAGACATCATATAATGAAGTGGTGAAGTAAAATTCTTAAATCTCTATCTATATTAATCTTATCTATATCAGGCCTTAACTCTTGCTGGAACCTGAAGTTTATTTCCATTAAGAGCAGTTTTGAACTGACTGTTCTGCTCCCTCTGTGCTCTGGCTTTAAGTTACCCCATAACTTCATCAGCCATCTTACTATTCTTGAATAATTCCCGCTCATTTCCATTTGTTAGAGCCTTCATTTTTCTATACTCCACTTGTAACTTAGCCAGAATCACTGAGTCTCTGCTATCCTCTGGCTTGTATCTTTGATTATATATGTATTTCATGTCTCTCGGTCCAATTCTACATAAAACGTTACTTGATACACTTTAGCTTACATTTTCCCATTGGGTAATCTTATCTCTCCTGTTTCTAATAATTCTGGTTATCCAATATTAAGCCTCTACCAAGCCTCATTTCTGCTAAGGCCTGTCTATTCCTGAGTAGGGCCTTTTATAGAGCTTACACTCTCAGCACAGAATTGCTTATTACTTTAAAATGAATTCTTTACCTCAGTGGTATTCGACTAAGGATTAATGAGAGTAAAGTCAGATTAGCTCTGAACGGTACCATTTCCATTGCCATTAGGTTGACTAGACTCAGTTTGGCCATTTGACTCACTAATAATAGAGAAGTGTTCGCTTTCAGACTTTTCACTCTTTGAAGGTGTACTCATAATCAGCTCAATATCTTTCATCTTAAGCTCCTCCTCATTGGCATCTTCAAGGTCTACGTCTTCCCAAGCATCTTCATTGTTCTTTTAAGGAGTTTGGTTCAGTGATAGATCTTTCATATCAATGTTTTGAAATTCACTATTATCTTCCTGCTTTTTATCTACATTATCTGATTATTTGACATTTTCGACTTGAGCACTATTAGATGAATTCTCTAACTAGAAAAGTTTAGAGAAATCGTAGAATAGTTGATACTCATGTTCATCATTAACACTCATAAAGCAGTGAGATTTATCCATCATGTGCTGTTGGCATCTTCGAGAATTCTTGAACATTTTATTACAGAACAAGCATAAATAGCCTAATTGAATTCTTTCAGCGATATATGTCAGTAAGCCCTTTAAATTGATACAACAGTCAATGTCTAGGATAAAGAAAGAGTGAGCAGAACGCATATGATCTAAGCATTTCTTGACTCCGCCAAGTTCCTTATTACAGAACAGACATATTCTTAAGGTATCTAAAGATGTTCTTTGTGGCAATTTGCTATCATTCATATCATCTTTCATTTTTTGTTTTTCTTGCTATTCTTGATGATCTCTGGTAGGATCAAGATTGTGAGAGTCATTATGATCATTAGGGTGATCGCTTTTACTTAGATTGATTTCCTATGATTTATCATCATTGAGGTGCTTGGATAAGTTATCCTTCGTCAGATTTTCAAACATTGATGATTGCTAACTATTCTCTAGAGGATTAGCATTCTATGCTTTGTAGATTTTATCATTTTTCTTATGATTCTTTGAGTTCTAATGTTGATCAAGCTATTCCATAGACTTAAATGTTTTCTTGCATGGGTAGCATTTCCATCCTAAGTCACTCTGCTGACTGTTAATCTCTGACAGTGCAATGGCTATTTATTAATTTAAGTTACCACTCGCCCGCACAATAGAATACTCAAATTTAATTCTACTACTTACTTGCTTTTTTTTGTTCGAATATTTCCTCAGTAACTGGTTCTAATGCCAATATCTTTCTCTTGATGTTAAAAACGTGGAAATCTGTGATGATATGTAGCTTATAGTCCATCACGTTTTAGAATTAAATACGGCAAGCAGAGCATATCACCTGCTTGTTTTGGTCCAAAAAGTTAATACTTGATTTCTGCATTTTAATTAAAATATAGATGAATTTATTAGAATACTAGGATTTTATATTTGCTCAATCCAATCTTAAGGGGTTTTGGGGTTTTGGGGTTTTGGGG